CAAACTTCAGGCTAAAGACAAGGCCACCACTGACGAGTTTGTGATGGTGGATGGGTTGCTCTTTCTTGAGAAGGCAGGGTTTAAGAGATTAGTTGTTCCATCTAGGGAAGATTTGCGTAGTTTGTTCTTAGGAGAATGCCATGACGGAAAGGGACATTTCGGCTATAAGAAGACTAGCGCTAACTTAGTACAGCGATTTTGGTGGCCTAAAATGTTGGACGACGCAAAGAAGTAGGTACAGACCTGTTAGGTCTGTCAGCGGGACAAGCCACGGACTCAAGCTCCGCTTGGGTTACTCAAGCCTCTACCCATTCCTGCTGGCCCAGGGCAGAGTATCTCCATGGACTTCATGGATACTCTCGTGACCAGTAAGAATGGCAAGAGGCACATCTTTGTCATAGTGGATAGGTTCACTAAGTACGCTAGACTAATCGCCATGCCAGAGACTGCCAGGACTGAGCACGTTATCAAGTTGTTCATGGACAACTGGGTACGTGACTTTGGACTTCCAAAAACGATCGTCAGTGACAGAGATGTACGTTTCACAAGCGAGATGTGGAAGAAGGCCGCTGAGCAGAAGGGCAGCCAGCTTCAGATGACTTCTGGGAATCATCCCGAAGCAAATGGGCAGGCTGAACAGATGAACCGAGTGGTGCAGCATCTGCTGAGGCATTACATCAAGCCCAACCAGGATGACTGGGATGAGAAATTACCTCTCATCGCCAGCCTGTACAACAACGCTGTACACAACACCACCGGCGTCGGTCCTAATCAACTGCATCTGGGGTGGAAGCCTAGATCTGCTCTAGACTTTCCTCCTGCCTGAAAACCGAACTGCTGCAACTCCTGGAACCATTGAATTTGGTGTCCAGTATGAGAAACTGTTGCAGCAGACTATCGAACACATCAAGACATCTCAGGAAGCCATGATTGGATTTCAAGGGAGGAACTTGTCAAGACAGCTCCTCGGATCGTGGCAGATTATGAGAAGAAACTGAAGGGGAAGGCACCAGCATGAAGCATCTCAGCGGACTTCCGAAGCTAAGGGGGATGGAATCTGAGGAACAAGCCCTCAAGGGGCCCTATCAGACATCACATTCTTCTGGGCTAAGGCCCCCAGCAAGCCAAATGCCCGCCCTAAGTGAAGGCGGGCCTGAATATTCGTCAAAGGGAAAATTCGACATTTCCATATGTGGGTATTCAGGCTCTCGCAGCAGGCCAGTTGGTTGGGAAGACGCATGAGCCTCACATTGCTGCGTCGTACAGTTGGCCCAGGCCTTGACAGTTGCGCCTGGGCACACATACACAAAGCAGGGCCGATACATTGGGAAGCAGGCCTTCGGCCTTTGCAAAAGCAGTAGTGCCAACGCACCTGCCTGGGAGCCCTGCACAAATGCAGCAAACAGCCCAAGTCTGGAGACTCAGGCCGTGCCTAACTGCAAAGGCCCCAGGCCCTCAACTGTAGTCTCGGGCCTGGGCGCAGGGTCTGGGACCCAACCGGAAGCTACTGGAAGCTTCCAGCCAGGCCACACGCAGCATCCAGGAGRCTGCCACTTCCACAAAAGGAAGGAGGCAGCCCAGGCCAGGCATTCTGGCCAGCACTGGCAATGCGGAAGTGCTGCTGCGCTCTCGCTTGATGCTGTGCTGCTGCCAAGGGCAGCGGGGCGCAGGCAGCCATAGCCAGGCTGCTGGGCACCAGGGGGTACAGCGGATGATCAGGTGGTCTTCAGGGAAGGAGGTGCTGTGTGGGGTAATCAAGGTCTGATTGAGGGTGACGAGATACGTACCTGGTACATGAAGAGAGGTCGGCGATGGTGTTGGCAGTCAGGTACATTGGTTGTCGTGAGTCGAAGTGATCCTGTTGCGTGAACCAGCTGTAGGTAGGATAGTCTGGTAGAGTAGGCTGGGTGCTGAGCACCAGACATAGCAGAACGACTTTGGATACTGTGTTGGTGTGGCCTACGGGCATGAACATTAGCTCATTACTTCATTGTATTGCTCTATATGGATGGCTTTCTCGGTGCATTTGTACTCTCTGCTTGGGACATAGCAGAACGGCATTGTAGTCTAGGCTAGATAGGATCTGCCATCTGTAGTCTGGGCGCCGAGCGCCAGATAGGATATCAACATTGGTTCTTCGTTGATGATGATGAGACTATTCCAGCATTGTCAATTCTGAGCTTTTGGTGTGCTCTTATTTGGTGAAACTCGTGATGCAACTCTGCTCTTGGTTTGAGGTCACGACTATCTGGTCTAATGTGTACGATGCTGTTTGATTGCGGAAGTTCACTATTGCTCATCTTCCTTGCAGTCTGAAACAAAGGGGGGGGGGGGGAATCAATGATCAATCAATCAATGATCAATCAATCCATCAATCAATCAATCAATCAATCGATCGATCGATTGTCCCTACGTGTCAGATCAGGTTTCGTCCTGATTCACGTGCGGGGCTCCGGTACCAACTGACACATGCCCAGTTGGGCAATGTGTATGGAGCCAAGGATCCGCAAAGAGATGAAAAGGACTGAAATGGACAGTGCAATGTCAGTGAAGAATCAACAAGCAATGTACATCCCGATACATACAAAGTGGCACAATGTAGCGCAGTGGAAGACTCAAAGATAAGACCTGACCTGACTGGGACTGACGCGACATCCCATCATACATCACACATGTGAGAGGAGGAGGAGGGACTGCACACATCAAAGAAAGGTCCCTCCTTGTACACGCACATGGGGGAGATACCACGGATGAGAGATGGGGGGTGAGGCGAGGGAGAAGACCAAGATCGCGATAGCGAAGTCCAAAAATAGTCCCTTGCCAAATGTCCTTTCAGTGTCTGCCACAAAAATGTCGGATCAGATCCTGGGCGCTATGCCCGATGTAACCTCTGCCTGTAATCTCTCTCTCTCTCTCTCTCTCTCTCTCTCTCTCTCTCTCTCTCTCTCTCTCTCTCTCTCTCTCTCTCT